GTGTGTCATGCACGGGCTCGGCTCAGCAGGGTACACACAGGTCCATGGGCACGCTTGGGCCAGGGGGTTACACACTCGGCTCGCACAGCCTGCAGGGATGCACACTCGGCACACGTGGGTCAGGGGGTTGCCCATTCTGCTCTCACAGGCCGGGGTGTGCACGCTTGCCTTGCACACATGGGTCAGTGGGCATGCTTGGGCTGGGGGGTTGCACGCTTGGCTTGCACGCCCATGTTTGCAGTAGCTCCCCTGCGATGCACACACGTGTGCACGGGATTCGCACACCCCCATCCCACACACATGGGCCTGCTCAACTCCTACCCCTCCCTGCAGGGATCCCAAGTGTCCTGCACCCAGGGGTGGGTAATGGGGCGCTGGGATCTTGCCGGGGGGGTGGCCTGGCTCTGACCTCTGCTCCCTGCAGTACCTGGGCCATGCGGAGGTGGAGGAGTCCCGGGGGATGCACGTGTGCGAAGAGGCTGTGAAGAAGCTGAAAACGGTGAGTGCAGCTGGCACGAGGGGTGGGGGGAGGGCAGGTCTGGGCCAGATGCTCCCGGTGCCCCCCACTGGGAAACCCCAGCACCTCCTCCTTCAACCCCCTTCTCCACCCCGAGTTCCCCAGCACACCCCCCCAGCCACCCATCATCCCCTGTTATCTCCCCGGGGGGGCTGATAGATTTTTCCAGTCTCTGAACTGGTTCCCCCAGCCATGGGGCAGAGGGCTCAGGAGTGAGGGATGGGCTGGGGGGGTTTCTAGCATCCCCCACTGACACACTCCCTCCCCCCCCCCGATTGCAGAGCGGGCGCAAGTCGGTGAAGTCGGTTCTGTGGGTGTCGGCCGACGGGCTGCGGGTCGTGGACGACAAAACAAAGGTACGGGGGGGGTGCGGGGGGAGGGACTGGGGATTGTGGGGGGGTTATGGGGCAGTGGTGAGCCGTGGGGGGGTCCTGCCATCCCCCCACCCCCCATGGACTCCGTGGGAGCCCTGTGGACGTGCAGAGTGTCCCCCTGGGCTGAGGCGGGGGGGGATGCACTGCCCCCATCTCATGCCCCCCCCCGCCCCCCAGGATCTCATCGTCGACCAGACCATCGAGAAGGTTTCGTTCTGCGCCCCCGACCGCAACTTCGACAAGGCCTTTTCCTACATCTGCCGCGACGGCACCACGCGCCGCTGGATCTGCCATTGCTTCCTGGCCCTCAAGGACTCGGTGCGTGGCCCCCGGGCGTGTGCCCGCCTCGCACCCTCGCCCACGTGCTGAACCTGGCACACCTTGCACGCACCCTGCGCCTCACACGCTGCCCCTCACACACCTCACACCCTCGCCTGTGTGCTGAACCTGGCACACCTTGCACGCACCCTGCGCCTCACACGCTGCCCCTCACACACCTCGCACCCTCGCCCACGTGCTGAACCTGGCACACCTCGCACGCACCGTGCGCCTCGCACGCTGCCCCTCCCATGCCTCGCACCCTCGCCCGTGTGCTGAACCTCGCACACCCACTGCACCTCGCACCCTCGCCCACGTGCTGAACCTGGCACACCTCGCACGCACCCTGCACCTTTCATGCTGCGCCTCGCACGCTGCGCCTCGCACGCTGCCCCTCACACACCTCGCACCCTCGCCCGTGTGCTGAACCTCGCACCCTCGCCTGCACGCCTCGCACCCTGCGCCTTGCACGCTGCCGCTCGCCCGTGTGCTGAACCTGGCATGCCTCGCACGCCCACTGCACCTTGCACCCTTGCCTGCATGCTGAACCTAGCACACCCGCCTCGCCCTCCCACCTGCCCGCTGCACCTCGCCCACTGCACCTCGCACGCCTAGCACCCTCGCCCGTGTGCTGAACCTGGCACACCTCGCACGCACACTGCGCTTCGCACACTGCCCCTCACATGCCTCGCACCCTCGCCTGTGTGCTGAACCTCGCCCACCTTGCACGCATGCTGAACCTGGCATGCCTTGCACGCCCACTGCACCTCGCATGCCTCGCACCCTTGCACGTGTGCTGAACCTGGCATGCCCGCTTCACACGCCCGCTGCACCTCACACGCTTCGCACCTTCACCTGTGTGCCGAACCTGGCGCGCCCACCTCGCCCGCGTGCTGAACCTGCTTTGCCCGTGCACTGCACCTCGCCCGTATGCTGCACCTCGCACGCCTTGCCCACGTGCTGAACCTGGCATGCCTCGCACACCTCACACGCATGCTACACATGGCACACCTCGACCCACCTGCCTCACCCGCATGCTGAACCTGCCACACCCCGCCCGCCTCGCCCGTGCACTGCCCCTGGTATGCCCGTCTCACCCGTGTGCTGAACCTTGCACGCTCACCTCGCCTGCACACTGCACCTGGCACGCCCGCCTTGCCCAGCCGCACCTCACTTGCACACCGGTGCTCATGCACACACGCCTTGCACACGCAGCCTCTCTGCACCGCCGCGCTCGCTGGTTCTCGCACATGCCCCCGTGCACTCTGCTGTGCCCCCCCAGCCACTCGTGCAGGTCCCCGTGCAAAGGGGCTCGCCCAGTCGGCTCCCCGTGCGCGCCCCCCGCAGCCCGTGCGAAGGCTGCTCGTGTCCTGACCTGGCTCTGCCCCCT